AGCAGGGCCCACACATACCCTAATTACTATTTCAGACAGCCCCCATTCCAAGCTGCCCCTTTTCGGGGCCTAACATCTCTGGTCCTGCGGTTGCTGGGGGATTCTGGTACCTGCAAGCAACCCTTCCCCCTGAATCTTCCCTTCTTCCCCCTCGGGGCATTTCTCCTAGAGCCCCTCCGGCACAAACACAGGCCACCTCGCTAAGGAAATACCACCCAAACTCCAAGTGGGTCTGTTTATTATTCTTGCTGAAATCTGGGATCTGTGTGTGGTCTGTCCACCCTGCCTTGGTTCACTTTCAACATTGATGAAAGTTCTCTCCACTGAGCCAGAGGGATACCTGCAGGGCTTGGCTACCTCTCGTGTTTTTAGTGGCTGATTTCCCAGCTGCCACCTGGATTACACAAACTTCCACTTGGAGCTCTTCCCCGTTCTATCCTTGCTGACCCATGGAGCCCCATTGTTCCATCAGAGGGTCTCTCTGGAGCAGCACCTGCCAAATCATGATAAATTGTGCGTTTTGGCTGTCAGTGGGGGTAAGTCCCCTGAGGGAGAGGACCTCCCAAACTCATTTCACTTCTGACCCTAGGATGGTCTGAACAGGACCTTTTGGGGAGGAGCAGCAAGAGCATTTGCGGGGAGCGAGAGAGGGGACCACCCCTCCGCATCCAAGGAGCCTCGTTAGAGAAAACCTAAGTTGATGAGGCTGGCGTTCACCCAGGATCTTGAGACTTTCTAACTCTGAATCTGAGAGTGGATCACAGCTGGATATTTAATGACATAATATTTAAAGAGCTATTTGTGTTGTTGCTGTTCATAGAAGCAAATGTAGTGACCCTAAGTACGAAGCGGTCCTAGCTTTTCCTGGCTGGTTTTTAGAAAGGATCCTGACTGAATACATAAATAACTTGAAGGGAGGAATGCACAGATGCCCGTTGTGTAGAAATGGAAGGTCTGACTGGGCTTACATGGTAGTCCTTCCCTGCAGTTCTGATTTCTGAGGTTCAGCAGTCTGGAAGCAGGTGCTGCTCCTACGGATGGAGTGGTCAGAAGGTCTGTAGTAGCTAAATGCTGTGTCACAGTGCCAATGCCATTCACCTCACTTCGTCTCATCATGGAGACATTTTATTGGCTCATACCATCGCAAGAAGACGGGCAAGGACAGCATAGTGAGATACTTTGAGAGAGAGAGACCACCTTCACACAACTTTTATGACAGTATATTTTTATATGGTTCTGTATTATAATTAGTTATCATCATAATCTCTTACTGTGCCTCATTTATAGATTAAACTTTGTCATAGGTGTGTATATAGTGTTAAGTACTATCCACGGTTTTAGGCATCCATGGGGGGTCTTGGCACATATGCCCCGTAGGTAAGTGGGGGCTGTGGTAAGTGAACGTCTCAGTCAGGGAGGTCTCAGCCATGCTGTTAAAACAAAGAACCCCAGACTCCGAGCGGCTTATGGCACTAACAGTTTATTTCTTCACTCCTGCTGTGTCTTTTCACGGGTCAGCCACGGCTCAAGACTGAACCATGGCTGACCACGTGGCAGGGCAAAAAGGCTAACAAGTGTGTGTGCTGCCGGGTCATGTGGCCGCATCTGAATCCAACAAGAGGAGGAGGTGTATCCCCCCCATGAAGGGGTGCTGAATAGAGAAGACGGTCACTCAGTAACCACAGTGTGGTGATCGTTGAGTTTCAAGAAAGAGACAAGGTTTGCCGAGATCCCATTGCAAACCAGAATTTGTACCCAGATCACTGTGGAATACGAAGCAGATAACCCCTTCCCACTGTAATCTCCCTCTGATTCTGAAACCCCCGGGGGATCAAACCTCATAGTCAACAGTCTCTTCGTCTGTGAAATGGGGATAGGACAGTACCGTCCTGAATGTAAGCCGTGACTCTTGACGAAGATGACCTCTGCAGAGTGTCTCCTACACTGCGGGCCAGCGACGGGGTTCGGGGATGGGCGGAAGGCCTTAACAGACCCTCCTCTGGGCAGACTTGTCCTTATTGCTGCCAGCACTCTTGTACTCCACCCTTCACACCTCTGTGGGGTGGGTTTTGATTTGCAAGAGTACAATGTCCTGCAGTCCAACCCTTCGTATCTGCCCCCCAGGTGTCCTTATCTATCCTAATAAACATTTATGGAGTGCCTCCTAGATTCGAGACCCTCTGCTAGATCTCTGGAGGTAGATGCTCGACCTCTCCCAGGCCCTCAGTAGCCATTACTCCACCTGGAAAGGGAAAACTTTTCAGAAGGCAAAGGGAGAGATGGTTGGAGGGAATGGATTTCTCAGCCCCAGCCATAGAGCAAATCAGTAGCAGAATAAGAAACAGATTTCTCATTAGTCAGGAAACTCATTTACTTCACAGCTCCCCTGGGTCCTTATCCTAAGGACACTTTCGTCCATCCCCCTAGGCCAGAAAGATATTGCCATTTGCTTACTCAAGAGAGAAGAAGTAGCTGATCATGAAAAAAAAAAAAAAAAAAAGTACAAACAAAAGCCTATTTCAGACTCCCTCCCAAAAAACAAAAGAAGGTGTTTATACCCCTGATATAATTCTCACTTATTTACTTAACGTTCAACTCAACAACAGAAAATATGCCCAAACTTGAGTTTCATTTTTGTTGCCTCGCTTCTGCTGGGACGACAGAGCTTACACTCCGCAGATCTGGCTTTTCCCCTTTTCCCATCTCCCTCTCACTTTCTTATTTTTCTTTTCACTTCTGGAAGCTGTCTGAGCAGTTACTTGTAAACTCCGACCCTCACCCTTCTCATCCCTTCTCTAGTCTTCTTGTTCTCAGAATACTTTTTTTTTTAATTTTTTAATAAAGAGATGCTATGGAATCCAAAACAAAAAGGGAAGGGCGAGCATCCCCAGAAACAGAGAAAACACGGTTTCATGAATGCTCTCTTTCCATGCAGCAAGATGAGGGTTTTATCTGCTTGCTGTCCTCTCAAAGTTGATGGTCGCAGCATGTTCCGGGGTATTAGAAGAGGGGAACAACTCTGAAAAGAGATCTCACACTCATGGGGCACCGGGGAGGCTGCCGTTCTTGCCTAACAGAACCCCGCTTCCTTCTGTAGATGCGAAAATCCAGGCTTTGGTAGGTCGGAGTCCCAGCTGCACCAGCACCTGTCCGCGTCTGTCTTAAAACACAGGGAGACACTCCTCCCCCTCCCCCCGCCGTGAAAGAGCCACCCCTCCACATTGGCAGCAGGCTAGCTCCAGGCAAGCCCCAAGAACCCAAGAGCAACATTTAAAAAGGAATCCTTCTAAAATAGCTAATTCCTTGGCTTCCTTCACCTGGTAATTACAAATCAGAAGCTATCGTTATCTTGAAGCAGCCATGATTAGTTCTCATTTCCTGACCTCTGTACAGTTTTCACTGAACAGAGAAATATGTCACTATTTGAGGCAACGGAATCCGGTCTCTTCAAGTGAGTGACCTACATATAACGGATAAACTGCAGGAGAAAATTAGGTGTTACCTTGACAGAAACTGTACAGTAAATGTCACTTATTTGTATTAGTATTTATCATCTCAAAGAGTTGCCTTGCACTTCAAAGTAATGTATGGGGAGGGGGGGATGTGGTTCTGCGATGGGGAAGTATGTAAGAAAAAAGCAGACATACACCCAGGGACTACTTGGCACCTTAATCTGCGACCATCAATCTGAGCTGTATTGTTTGAAGATAGGTTTTTAACCTTAATAGAATGCAGCCTGACTTTAAGTGGTGGGAGGCATGCAGAATTAATTGCTGTGTGAACAATTTCCTAAGCATTGTTAATTGCGTTTCCTGTGGTTAATTGTTTCTCCCATCCCGCATCATACTCAGAACCTTTCCCTGTCAACAGCCCTTTCTCTCCTGCAGTCCCGGAACCGTAGCCACAGCATCAACCTGTGTCCGATTGAAATGCCAGACAGACGGGGTGCTCCCCCCCTCCCCCGTTATTGTTTGAATAGGCAGGATGCAGGGGAATGAACTCCTTATTTATTTGCAAATGAAGCATGTCTTAGATAGGGACTTTGAAAGAATTTAGGTGTTTGGGATTTGCCTTTCCCTCCGGGCCATTGTCCTGACGACAACTCACCTAGAACCATGGGAGATAGGGGGGATTGAGCTTGCTAAACCCCAGGGAAGTGGGGAGCTGGCACAGGGTGACGAGGAAGACCAGAAGGTTGGAAGGAAGTTTGTGTTTGGAGGTGTACCGTGCACGGGGAAGTAAAGCAAGACAGACAGGCTTGCCTCCTTAGCACAGTGCCTTTGTGCTCTGGCTTATTCTGTCCGATAATGTGGCGATGTGGGTGCAGGGTGTGAGAGAGAAGAAAGTGTAATAGTAATATTTTCCGGAAAGGGCCCTGTTCCACCCCCCCCCCAAGCTTTTCCCACAATGGGCTGAAAGGGATGCACTTAGCAGGAAAAGCGGTTGGAAAGCTTGGAATGGAAAGGTGAGCTTTCTGGTGGGTCTGACACAACCTGCTGCATTGCTAACCCAGGGTAGCTACAGTCACACCCGCAGACAGGTCCCATTTGGCTAGTCCCATTTTGAAACCGATTTATGTTTTGAGTAGTTTGGGTGAAGCTATCCTTGCCAATGCCCCCGGACCACCAGTCTATCAACAACCGCGTCTACACTGCGGGGGAGGCTGGACATGATGGAGCAGAATCCTTGACAGTGACTCCAAAGGGACATTTCCCCCTCCTTGGTAACACCATTCAGACGGTCTGAACTAGGATTTCTCTTACCTCCTCCGCCCACCTTCCGGATCCTCTCCCCCAAGACGATGAACAGAAGCCCAGGGAGAGGAGCCACTACTTGCTTTCTGTACTTAGCTAATCCCCATGGCCCAGGGCAAGCCGGTTTTGAACTGCAGCTTCCTTCAATGGCAATCACTTGGCAAAGGCACCTGGCCCCCCCCCCCCCTTGACATTTGCATTGCTGAATTATCTATTCATATTTTCATTACTTTGTCTCTCCTGCAGCAATGCATCTGCTCGGACTCAATTGGCAACTGCAGCCGGCCGACGGGCACACCTTTAACAATGGGATAAGGACCGGCTTACCAGGAAACGATGATGTGGCAACAATGCCATCTGGAGGCAAAGGTGAGGTTACAGCGGCTGCTTGCCCTCTTGAGGTCGTGGGAAAATTCAGAGCTCCCGCCAATGTGTTCAGGTTTTCTAATCCAAATCTTGGAAGGTACGCGAAGGGGAAAAGAAACTGGGGGTGGGGGTTGGAGGACAAAATGTTCCCTTTTTGCCCCTGTTCAAAGCTGTTTGCTGTTCCTGTCTGTTAGCTGTGTTTGGCTGGAGTCACTGAGTTGGCACGGTGCCTTCTCTGTGCCATGTGCATACCTGTGCTATCTGGAGCGACTTGAAAGCCTCCCAAGGCCTGGGCAGAAGCAGCAGCAGCAGCAGCAGCAGCAGCAGCACCAGGAGAAAGTCCCGCCTAATCACGAAAGCCGAGAGCAGCAGGCAGCACACACCACTAGACCAGAGCCCTCTCCCCAGAGGAGAGCTGCAGCCTCCCCAGGGAGGAAGCGCTGCCTGGCATGAAAGAGATTCTAAGCTGTTCCGCTTTGGGAGAGAATAGAAAAGAGTTTTGACAACTGGGGAACAAAGCTCCTCTTCTCAGAACAGTAAAGGGGGCCATGGACATGTTTATTGAAGCAATTAAGCAACTGTATTCTTGCAGGAAAAAAAAATAGGTGCTAACAAGGTGCTAAGAAGGAAGAGAGAAACAGGACTGCGGGGAGGCGGGGAGGCGGGGAAGTGGGGCAGTTAATAAAACCACAGCAGCCTCCAGGCACCCGGTGGGCTGTGCTTGATTCTGGGTGGAAATCACCAACATGTGAGGTGGTAAGGAAGGGCTTCTCCAAACACAGACGCTTCCACTCTGCCTCTTAGCACATCTGGGCAGTTGGCCCCACATTTCTGAAAATACCCCACAGAGGTATTTCAGAGACAGGAAAGGAAGGAACGTTTACTGGACCCCTGGTGTGTGCCAAGCTTAGCATTTCCTGCCTTCAGCAGCTTTAACGGGAGGGAATCATCTCAGGGAAACTGAGGCCCAGGATGTTTTAGAAACTTACTCCAAATCAAACACGTAGGCAGGGACGAATTTAAACTCAAGTCTGTGCCTTGTGCATCTTTGGGCAAGATGTCGGCGTTTTCCTTAGCACATTTTCCACAGAGAAGTTCCTAGAATTCATCTTCCCCCAGAGGTGTTCGTGAGTCATCCTGAAATGCTCCTGGTGCTTCAATTATTCTCCCCAGAGTTGTCCTAATGGTTTTGAGTGTGACTTTTTTGTCTTTTTATCTAATCTTTAAGAGTCACTTTACTCATCTATCCTAATCATAATACTAAATTACCTTTAAGTAAGCATGAAAAAGTTTTATCTGAGGATGAAATTCTATGCCTTCCTTTATCAGGCAACTATAACTAGACCTAAAGATGGAGAGTGTATTTTGCCTTAATGGGCCATGTTCTGCCTTAACTGACCGAAAAGCCTGGAGCCTCCTATGTGCCTGTCGGCCTCCTATGTGCTGTCCGTTCTGCTCTAGTACTTGACACCATCCGCAACTCCTGTTTCCTTTATGACAGTGGTCCTCCGCAGGGCGTTTCGGACCCCAGGGGACACTGGGCAAGTGACTGAAGACTTCTTTGGTTGTCCCAATTAGAGGAGGTGAAAGTGGCGTTTAGCAGAGAGAGGCTGAGCTGCAGTTCAACATCCCACGTGCACAGGATGGCCCCTACAGCGAAGAGCGATCCTGCCCAAGAGGTTCACAGTGCTGCTCTTTGAGAAACACAGCTTTAGAGGGTCTCTGCTTTGTTTGATCCATGAACGCCCTTTAATCTGCAAGTCAGCAGCGCCCTGTCCTTTGAGAAAAATGCAGGACACACATTTGAAAGTGAATGTGCATATTGGCTCTTCAGGCCCAGGGATGTATTTCGTACATGTCTATATTCTGAAGTTACACACAAATGCTTTTTAAATAGCATCCCTTACCAAAGAGAGTCGCTGATAGGCATTAACTTCCGTAAATTAAGGTCAGCCGCTCTGCGCATTCGTGATTAAGCTGTGTTTCCAACGGCCACCCCCACTTGAGCATCCCACACCAGCAAGATGGTAGATTCCTGCGGAGAACAAGTCCTAACTAAGAGTACGGTGTCTCTGAATTAACAAATGAAGAAACACTTTCCATGGTGTCTTTGGAAAAGACCACAATTTTCCCCTCTGATGCAACGTGCTCTCGAAAATGTTGTGTAAGTCATATAACATCGCCAGTTATTTTCCAAATGAGTTATGAGACAGAGAAGTGGTGGCCAAATTGTTGTCCAATGAATTTTGTCAATAGGATTCTTATGAAAAAGTGTGAGAATTTAAAACTGCTTAAACTTGAAAGAAAACTGGGAACATCTCCTTTCTGAACGCCAAAATAGTAGTCTTCCTAAGACTGAAGATAGCAGATCTCTTAAGCTGTTGCAAAGTTTGGTTTAAAAAAATAACTAGAAAGATTTTCATTTTCTCACACCCCTCCTACATCTTTTTTAAAAAGGGACCTCAGGTTTTGGTTTCTTTACGCAGGGACCTCCCCCCTTCCCACTCCCCAATTCTATACATTTAGATAACCTGAATCAATTCCAATCGACTAGTTTTCCAGTGTTTCAAAGAGACAATCAAGATATATTGGCAATAAGTTAATTAAATAACACCCCCTCCATTTTTTTGTGGTATACGATAATCCTTCACTCCGATAATGTTTTAATCAAGATACACCACACATTGCCAGGGAGGTTAATCTTATTAAGCAATTACTGGGTAACTATCCAGCAGAAGCAAATTAAAATGTAAGCAAAACAAGGGTATGTGAGTTCCAGCTAAGATGGCACATCGATAGAGATTTCATTACTTGGTCTTTAGGAGTGTTTACATTGCTCAGATTTAGAAAGGAGCCTAATAGACAGGGCAGCCTACACACTCTGATATGTTAGTGGAAACAAAGCACTTGATTAATTAGTTAGGAGAGTATGTTCTTTGGGCTTTGTCTTCCCTTTTCCATTTGTTGTTGTTCTTCGTTTGTTTTTTTCTCCGTTCTCTCTTTCAATTAAACCTTCACGTGGTTGGTTTGGTGGTTGGGTTTCACCTCAAGAAAAGGGAGCCCACAGACTGCCAGAATCACTCACCATCTCGAGTGTATTTCTATGTTAAAAGGAATGAACTCATACATCTTCATTACAAGAGCACAGAGCACTTTTTCTATAGATCTGGGATTAGATAAGCCTTGAGAACGAAGATTCAATACAGTGTTCTGACCTGGTCAGATAACATAAGGGAATCCGGTTTGATTGGCTAGGCCCAGAGGCAAAGACTACAAGAGCTTTTAAAGGGCATATCCTATGTAGCCAATTTGTGCGCTGATCTTAAAAAAGAATGAACTCCCAAGTAGAATTTCATGGATCATTCTCAAAACCCATCACTCATTTTAAATTCAAGGTGTCCTCTATATCAGGGGTCAGCAAATAACATCTCGGGGACCAAATCAGGCCAGCCATGTATTTTTGCAAATAAAGTTTTATTGGAGCACAGCCATGTTCATGCATTACCTATGGCTGCTTTTGCACTACAACAATGGAGCTGAGTAGATGCAACAGAGATGAGATGGCCCACTAAAGCCTGAAGTCTTTGTTATCTGACCCACTGTGGAAGTTTGCCTGCTGCTCTGTCTCATTTGCAAACCCATTTCTGTTTTCCTTGGACTGTTCCGCAATAACAAATTACAGGAGATGAGGCAGAAGAGGCCAAACTCCCAATATATCGGCCTTTCCTTCTTGACCCAGTGATGGACATATTTTTGGTAACATTCCATCGACAGATCCTCTGTAATAGAAGACTCTAGAGTTGGTCCAGCTGGTTGCAGCTGTCAGCTCCATCACTCAGCTGCGTGCACGCAAGCAGGTCATGTGTCCTCCCTCAGCCACCGGTTCCTCATCTGTAAAACGTACCTCTCACCCTCTTGGCATCCAGTATAAGTGAGACGATGCTTGTAAAACACAGTGTGTGGTTATCAGGGGCTTGGTAAGAGATTCGTGAATATTAGTTGTCACTGACATTAGCACGCCATCTCTCAGTTGCTCCATTTAACAAGCATCCCCGGGCTGCCACTTCTTATGAGGTGTCGTGTTTTCCAAAGGTGAAGCTGCCTTCAGAATGTCAAGATACACCATCGTTCCGCTTCATCTTTTTCTTCCCTTTCTAAGAATTAGAACAAACCCAGATGTGAAGACTTGTTCCCAAACATTTGCTTGATGAGGTCAGTGGAAAGCAAGACTTCCCATTCAAAAGGGCCAATGTGCAAAACAAGCTGGCCCCGTCCCCCACAGCATTATTGTCTCGCTGCAGCTCGTGTTCCATCACTGCCAGCCTGTCTGTTTTAAGCCCCACCATTCTCGGTTTATAACTCAGCTGTAAACATTTATTTGTGCCTGGAGCACATTTCTTTCCTACCCTTTGAAAAAAAAAAAATCAGAATTTCCAGATGGTATGCAAGTTGGAAAAAAATGGCAAAGACTGTTATTCTGTTTAGAAACATGTTTTTCTACACTTGCCCTTTCAGCAAAAACTTCATAATGATTTTTACTAGTTGGCTTAATGCATGGTACTAGGAGCCAGATTAGCAGGGAGGTTGGTAATTCTTCCTCTGGCTCTTGTCAGGCTCTCAATGAACACAGCCCAGGGTTTCAAAATGATCACTTCCCTACATGGGGCCTTTTCAAAGTCAGTGAAGTTCCCAGAAGGGCGAGGGGTGGTTATGTTTGAGCCAACCAGCACAATAGTGCACGTCTCCTGGCAAATAAACCAATAGCCCACACACTAGTGCAACAATTCCCCTCATTTTGGAAGCCATCTTACACTCCCTTTGTTATAGATGAGTATTGCTTAAGCGCCTCATCTTGGTGATTTCGGCTTCTCATTGTGACCCGCGACCCCCTTCTAAGTTGTATAGTTTCTGTTGAACATGACATCCCTGTGGCTTGACATGTGTACTAACAGCCAGATAATCAATTTCCCTCCCTAGTGCATTAGTCCTCACTTGAGTTGGCA